TAATAATAATAATAATAATAATAATAAACCAGATAGGAATCACAATCAGATGAGCTAATTCTACTTTATTGTAAAGCTACATTAACAGAATCTTGCAAGTCTGAAAGTACAATTCTCCCGCTGCCTCCTTTACAGCCTGAGAAACTAGGGAGGGTCTCTTCTATGCCTCTTGCCCTGCCTGCTATCCAGTTGGGAGTTATGCAGTCTTTTATCTGGCCATTCCTTGGGTGACGTCTCTTGGCCCAGCCTCCCAAGGTCTTTCCCACATACCATTACAGAATATCACCAAACCTGTATTGGGCTATTATCCAGAGGCACATAATGCAATGTAAGTTTCTTAGAAAAGGAAGGGAGATAAGAGTGCAGAGTCCATCTTTCTTCCTCTTCCTCTTCCTCTTTGTCCCTCCTCTAGTGATCAGTAGGTACAGAAAGCCAGGGCATGCACGTTTAATTCCAACATTCATCTCATATTGGAATATGGCATCTATATGCAGAATTTCCCCCATTCCTCCCCTGCCGCAGGATGCATCTCTCCATGTATTTATTCCCCCACTCTGTAGTTTTTTTTTTTTATTACTATATGTCTTTATTATAAAATGCTATGTACAGGCTACACTAGGTACAACAAATAATGTACCCCACTCTGTAGTTTTAAGAGATAACTGCAGCATCTCCTTTGTGCAATTAGGCCTATGCCCAGGAGAGCTTAGATACAGAAAATAGAAAGAAAATGTATTTTCTGTTTGACCTCCCTAGCATTGTTGGTGCATACAAACAAGGGACTCATGGCTACTGTCGTAAGAGCCTTTCCAGACATTCATCACCGCTTTTTAGCATTTGCTCACCATTATTGATCCCAGGCAGGGAGGACATCCACAAAGTGCTGCTGTTGTCGTTGAATGTGTAGCAGTTCCCATAAATGGGGTGATGGAAATGTGTATAGTTCCTGAGAGAACAAAAATAAAGATTGAGGCTAACTGAGCAACAGATTCAGATAATTGGGTTTGCAGCTGTTGGGAAGAAAAGTAGAACAGTATATTGGGACTGTAAGGGGCAAAACAATATGCAAAATTTCAACTAGGAGAACTTTTTGTTTAAGATGGTTGTCTGTGTTGTGCCACCTGGATGCTGATTTTACATCATATGCTAGGCTAGGTTGAAATGGGGTTGTCTGATTTGTGTTTCAGCATATTGTAGGAACGCAGTTATCAGCTTATTGTGGGAATCAGACCATCCCATAAACCATAACATGGGCATAACATGTTATTGAATGCTTCTTAACCTGGGTCTAGGGTTTAATGTATTGTGTGAACCCAACCAACTAATTCTACCTATCCCACTGTACCTGCTGTAACTTGAGATTTTTTTTTGTACTAGAAAGATTTAATAACATACCACACCTCTTCTGTTCCATGTTAAGACTATTGCAGATGCTTTGTTTTAATCAAGCTAAGCAACATCTTTTTTTCTTCTTTAAAGAAGAATTTAATGAGCTCAAAACCTTCTTTAGTTGGTTGTAAGAAAGATATGTAAACTGCTTGTGATTTTTGGTGGGAAATCCTGATAGATGTATATCCTGACTGTCATGGAGAAGATGAAGAACGTCCAAAATGAGATGTATGAAGTTCTGCAAGCCGTGTCACACTGCTTATTTCCCTAGCATCCGGTGCAGATCAGCAGCGCAGCTGGAATTTAGCAATGGTTCTAAATACGTAGAAGGAAGCTTGGTGCCAGCAGCAGGTAAGCTTGGTGGGGGTGGGGGTGGGGTGAAGTGTACACAAGTTGTGAAAGAAATGCCAGAGAAAGGTTAACTAACAAAGTCTGCAAACAACTGCTGGAACTAATGGTGGCTTGTCCAGGTGCCAGCTGGATCCAAAAGAGCCAATGTTCAGCCGCACTGGAAAAAGGCCATATTGTTCCAGACAAGAGATCTAACCAGTGTGGGTAATTCCAGTTTTAAGTGTGGTCACAGAGTCATTACCTCATTACCAAGACCAATGGAATGCACTAGGGATTTATAAACTCCCTGGTTTTGCTGCTTTCCTGACATTGAAAAATCGGGGGAGAGGGGCTGGTTAACAAGCTCTTGGCATCAGCCTCAAATAGCTTGGCCAGTGGACTGTGTCGCATTGATGAGTCACAAGTTGTGACTCCCCCACCATTCCCTCCAAGAAACCTGGAAGGTATTTTCAAGCCATTCTTTGCCAAATCTTGCTCACTTCAGTCTTCCCTATGTGAAGAAGGAAGATGTTCACTGACCCCCATCAGAGATGGGAGTTCATTTGCTTTACAAACCTTATGATCTTAACTGGGAAACATTTTTCTTTCTCATTTCATTTTGTTCTCTGCACCTGCATGCTGCCTTTTGTCCATGCCTTTGCTGCTCTAGGTCTTGATTATTATGTGTACACACACACACACATACACAAACATGCACACATACACACATGGACACATACACACATACAAAGAGGGAGAGAAATATAAAGTGATGGACGAGCAAAAGCATTTTCAAAAGAAAGTTGGTGAAAATAGGGATTGGACAGTCATTGAGAAGAAACAAATTTGTAAAACATTTACCCAGATGACTCTTGTTAATGCTAATCTCCATGTTCTAAGCTATTAACTTTAGAATTCCCCATAGGGAATGCTATGGGGAAAAATGGGGAATGAAATGAAAATGGGGCAAATGCTATGAGAAAACTTCCTATCCTCCTCTTTCAAAATCTGTCCCACCCCTCTGTTTGTAGTTCTTCAAAATGATATTTGCAACTAAGTAAAAATGTCACTTTACTCAAAGGGAGGACAAGAAAATGTAGCACTTCTACTCTGATGTGGGTGTATGATATTGTTACATAATCTGATCTATGGGGGGACTGCATGAAATCATCAATAAATTTATGCTCAAATAATTTATTGACTATACAACTTCAATATGGTACATGCCAGCATCTTGGAAGCTATTTTTATATGTTTTTATGTTTGCTCCAATGAACTTATTTCTAGGGAGGTAGATATGAGATTAGTACGAAATGCAGTTCATACGGTGCTAATCAGGACTGGTGATTGAGAACATATCTTGTTTGAAAGACTCACAAATTTGGGGTACATTTCAACATACAAGTGCAACTCTTCTTAGCCTAGGATCTGGCACCATGGGAAAATCTTCTCCCATATCAATCTGTCTATGTGTCGAGAACCATTCAGGTATGAGCACAAATGGGCAGCCACTGGGGAGAGACATCTTACTGTGAAAACCTACACACAGAATTTCCCCCTCCCCATGAGTGAGACATGCTTGGTACCTTTTGGTTTCCACTCAAGTGAAGATTTTAAAAATATATAAAGGTATGTTTCTTTTTTAAACATTTAAAACATCTGTGGTTGGACCATGCCCCGGTAAGGGGCATATTATAAATAAATTTATTGTTTGCTTGTTTTGCAAGGTTTATATGCCACTCCAATCAAAGCCAACTCTGAGTGACATACAATTCCCATTTTCTTAAACAGAAGAAGTTGTTCTTCTGAGGATCATCTAGCTTCACCTTCATATGATACTGCTATATGTGTGTGGATATGAATAAGAAGTAAAGTCACACCTGTAAGCCCAACCTCAGACATTTATGTGTTCAGTAGAAGGCCTGAAATGAACTTCTATGCATTTCACAACTCTACACACAGACTCCCCCATATGACTGGAAACCTGTGGCAATTTTAGTTCCTCATCATTGGAGTATCACTGTCCAGAGTTCCTTTCCAATTTTCAATTAAATACACAGAGCTAGGACAAGGTAGTGTATATTCCTTCCTACAACAAGGGTTTGTTAACATACAGAAAGAAAGTCTGAATAGGTCTTAATCAGAACAAAACTTTAGGAATTTAGTATTAAGCAGACTAAGCCCATGTAAAGCTTAATTGCACTCATGCACTGAAGCAAGTGAAATTCAGGCTTTCTGCTGAATGAGTGATGTGTTGGTACAGACTACTCTGATCACACCTGCTGGCTATTCCCATCAGTAGTGGTAGCAATCCAACCACAAATAGCTTAATGCATGACTTGTTTAGTGTGTCACCCAAACCTTGCCACGTTCCTCTGAGGATCAGCCAAAGAACAAGGCCAAGAAGGTGTTCCGATCCACTGATCAGTTTCCTATGCCTGCTCATCGGAGGAGCCATTGGATGTGTTTATTGGTATAATGAAACCTCTCCCTTTCTTGGGAAATTTAGAGCTTTCCTTCAGAAACTTAGTTTTACAGATGAAGTGGCAGATTTCTTATTCTACTGCAGATTCAACGTAAGTTGTCCTAGAGAGCAGTGATATTGGGACTCACGCTTTGTTACATGTCAATTCGTTGAATCGGCAGGCATAGATGAAGCTAGTGAAGTTGGATTCCTCTAGGGCCTTAGTGTCAGGGAACTTTGCCAGGATGTTGATGTAATGAAAACTGTACCATTCCCGTACAGCATCCACACCGGAGGAATACATTTGGTGGAAACAATCTGTCTTGTTTTCGTTACACTGAAAAAGAAACCATTCCCATTAGACGCATTCTAGAACAAGAATGAAACAAGTGAGATGGGAAAACATTCCCATTATAGGAGAATCAGTGGACAAGGGACACCAAATAACCCTACAAAAAGCTCCTCCACTCCATCTGTAGAATCAGACCTGTGTCCCCATGATGTTTTTATCCCCATGTCTACAAGTCCCTTGACCCTCATTATTAACATACTGGATTCAGCAAGTCTATTATCTATTTCTGAAAACTCTCTACATTCTCAAAAATCAGAAGATGAAGCAAAATGTTTCTGTGTAGTCTAGATTTAATGACAAGTTTAAGGACTGAATCAATCCCATATTGATACCAATGGATATGATATGGATCTTTTTAAAAAATCTTTTTTTCTTCCTTTCTGTTATAGTTATTTTCAATCATAATGCATTTGGTCTTTTTAAAATTGTATAACATACTGTATTTGTTGATGTTGTAGTTGCTTGTATCTCAGTGATGATGATGATGATAATGATGAAGATGCTACATCCTGGATTGAGTGATCAATAGGTCTGCCCTCAAATCACTTGATCACTTGTGATAAGAGTACCTTATTTTGTTCAATGACTATCCTTTGAGAATGGAATGGATACCATAACTTGTACTACATGGGACTGCCCTTGAAGACCACCCAGAACTACAGCTGGTATGGAATGCAACAGCCCCATCCTGATGGCCATGCCTTGATACATCTACATAAATGATGATGTTCCCTAGTTGGCCAATGAAACATCTGCAAGCAAACAATGAAGCTCAGAGAGCATCAAGAACTCCACTTCTATACAACTCCTAGACTGCAGAGCTGCATCAGCTGCCAGCTTGTTTTCATATTCATTTCACAGTATTAAGCTATGAAGCCCTACTTGGGTATCTGCGAGACTGCTTGCTCCAGGTAAAGTCTGCCTCCCCAAGGCATGCCAACAGAGAGTACTTGCTAAGGGGGCTTGGAGGCCAATGTTCTCTACAGAAGTCTTGAGGAACCAGTTCCCCTTAGAAATAAAGAAGCATCCTCATTATTAGCATTTAGAAAACCTGGCTGTTTAAGTGGGCATTCATGGGCTGAGGATGTGATAAGTAGATATCTAGGATGTATATGGCACTATTTATTGTGGCTTTATGAAGATGATGGTTTAATTATTTAATTGAGGCAACACTATTAATACGTTATGTATTTTATTAATACTCTGTAAGTGGCATGAAAGTACTTGTAAATAAATGAACAATCCTATGATTGTTCCTAAAACAATCCTTTATTTAATGGTTTGCTGCTCTTCCCCCATCCACGAAGCAAATTTTGTGGCTGTATTAGCTATGTGATTGGCTTAAAGACTATGAGTGAGTTGATGTTGTATTTCTTCCCATCCCCAATTCCTGGATAGCTCCACTGAATTTAAGAAGGGGCAGAATTATTCCTTGCTATCATTCCTTTCCATTGCACAAAACCCCATCAAACTATTTGCCTGAAATTTGTCACAGATATTTCTCAGGATAGGATCCATTTTTGCCGTGAATTTTGCTACATTCTGTCTCAAAGTTAGAGACACTTTTTTACATATAAAATCCAAATCAAAAGGAATTGATTTGAAACCCCCTGCCATAATTGTTATGACGTGTTGTCATTCATTTTTAACAGCAATATAGCTTTTCGATAAACTTCCTTGGGGAAAAGAAAAAGTGCTATGGTCACTTTAATAAACTGATTTTAAAGATGTGTAATTCAAAACCCTGGCATCAATTTCTGTGAAATTTGACGAGGTCCCTCTGCTTACAATATTTTAAATTTTCTACATCTGTTCTGATACACACACACACACACACACACATACGCAAACATAAACATAAACACAACCATATGATAGATATTCGAAGGATACTATATTCCTGCTTCTGATTCATGCTGTCGGTTTGAATGAATCCACAGCAGGTTGGACACTTTTCAGATCCAGGGATTTGGCCATGAAATGGATTGAGTGATCCTGGAACAGTTGTATGAAAAGGATGTGAAACCATGCTTACCAGGGTGAAACCAACTTTCCAATCACTTTTGCCCACTTGGGGATTGTTGTCCTCCATGGTGGCTTGTGTATCACGTTTGCGTCGATGCAGTGGGTAGCGCTGCATATGGTGGTATAGGCTCCTAGTGCTACGTTTCTTAGAGGATTTGGTCAAGGTGTTCTGCCCCAAAGACATATTGTATTTGAATACCTCCAGAAGAGTCCGTCGGGTCATTTGATCCAGTTCTTCCAGCTCTTTCCGAAAAGCACTATACCTAAAAGATGGAAGAATGGGCTTCAAGGATACAGTGTCTACTCCAACTGTTAATGAGTTGCTAGTCTTCAGATGTGTGGGACTATATGCTCCAGAAATCTCTGTCAATATGGCCAAAGGCACAAGCTTGGGTAGGCTGAAGTTCACTTCCTTTCAACAATACAGTATGCCAGAGGTGAACAGAAGATGTACTATGATCCAGCTGTGCTGGAATTCTTACCAAGATTGCTGAACTGAGCATATCATTTCTAGACCAGGGAAGATCAACTTTTTTCAGGTCCAGGGTCACATTCAGTTTTCTGTAACATGTTAAGGGTTACACTCCCAGAAATGGGTAGGGCCAGTGGAAAAGCAATTGGGGTCATGGAAAAAACAATGTGGTGCCCATGCATCTTAATCTTGATTACCCCACCCCACTATTCCAATCCTTTGTTCGGTCCTTGTATTCCCATCAACTTATCTTTAGTCATTTTTAATAAATTATTTTAAGCTTAAATTAATCCCTATTACATCAGTTATAGTTTATCTTATTTAACCCCCCAAAAGTGCATCTATTTTTGAGATCATTCTCCATGTTTATTCATTCTCATCAACCATTATAATCTTTTGTTAAAAATCTATTAGCATTAAGAATAAATTTTAAAACAATCTATTGACTTGATCTTTCTCTTTCCTACCATTCTTTAAATTAAATTAAATTTTAAATTACATCCTAAAACTTTTATCATTTTTGTTATGCTTTCTAAACCAGACTCCACATAATTAAAATCAGTTCCAGAATTCTTGACTCTCAGAGCCAGTCTCCCTTACAATAATGCTATTCATCCATCCTTGTGTTGGCAGAAAATATGATAGCATGACATCCGTTGCCCCTGCTGCTGACTCCTATCCATCTCAATGATCTCTGTGTCCCAGTCACTCTGAATCACATGACTTGTGACAAAGCCTAACAGATTTCACACACCTTGAGGAAGAATATGGGGAAAAATACTGTCACCAGTACAGCTAAGGACAACTCAAGCTGCTGCCTGTCTCATTCATGGACTGGGGATGAGATGAAGGCAGTATCGGGGGATATGTAAAAATAGTAAAAAAAGATTATTAGGGCATGGTTCTGTCATGATTAGGTGCTACTGCAGAGATACCTTTGCAATAGTAGCCATGTCTCTCTATGTAGGCTGTACCCTTGAAGCTAGGGACTTCTGAGAACTCAGCCTCCATAATCCAGAGGGTCTGCAGAAATATTGGGGGTCTTACCTATAAGGATTGAGAGTACATAGTGTGACAGCAGGGAAGGTAAGCCTATCAGAGTTCAGGTTCAAGTTCAGGTTGACTGGAAAGCTGAAGTAATCTCTATAGATGATTCCAAACTGCCAATACATGAGGCCAAAGGTGAGGAAAAAAAGGACCGACCAAAAGGCAGTCTTCATCTTATTTTTCTTAGAACAAACCAGCCGGATGGCACCATGGATGGTTGTATTGTTGCAAAAAAATTGGAAAAGCTCCTGGTAGGAACTGAAGAACTCAATGAGGCCATCGCTTTCTTCCTTCTTCTCTTCTTCCATCTCAGTTGCCACCTTCATGTTCTGCTGCTTTACCTCCAGTCTGGGCTGCTCTATCTTCTTGCCTTCTGACTGATTTTCAGCCTTCATAGTTGCACTTAGAGCTGGAAAGGAATATTCAACAACATTGAGAATTTGCTGCTTCTGATTTTACCATTCAAATATGAAGTCCTGAAATCAGATAAAAAGACTTGGCATTTTGAGTGTGAAATTGTGCCTCAGTATCTGTAATTGAGTTGAGAACAGCCATACACCATGCATGCTTACTTGAAGATAAATTCTAATGAATTCAGTACGACTAGGTTTCCAAGTAAGCATTGCAGCCAGAAAATTCTGCCATATATCATTATGATGTTGACAGGCACCACATGTAATTTTTCAGAATCTATAAAATTCTGTAAAATATGTTGTCTATTATAACATACATCTCTGGACTTAAAATGTGGATATTTTGTGGACATCTAACATTAATGTTGGATATTAAGTATAATCTGTTAACTATCATGTTCAAAAATTAGATTTATTTTGTTCAGTACTTAACAAAATAGTGGTTCTGGTTAACCTAATGGTTTTGTCCATTTTGTTAACTTTTAATGGTTTTGTCCATTAGTCTAATTTTCTGGGTTTGCACAATAAATAAATAAACTATAAATAACTGTATGGTCTCTATATTGTTAAATATGAATCTTTGTGCAGTGTTTGTTCCTTCTGTTCAAAGCTTAAAGTAACACCAGGACAGAATATGAATGAATATGCACCAAAAATGGACACAAACTGGGAGAAGACTTGCCAAAAAGCCTACTTCTTTTTTTGGAAGTGTTTTGCACAATTGCTTGCTCATCATTATCTGTAAACTGCCTGGAGTCTGCTAAGACTGAGACAGTGATAAATTGTATGAATGAATGAATGAATGAATGTGAGTAAAAGAGTTGCCCTCTCCTGTGTCCTCTTCTCCTTTATTACTAAATTTTAGCTCCTTGAGCCTAGGGATTTTCCTTTTCGCTTATGTCACTCTTTATGCAAAGTCCTGTAGTATGTACATCAATATGCGATGGAACAAATCATCAATAAAAACCTGATGCAGCAGGCTAAGCAGGAAATTCCCTTATCAACCAACAAATTCATTCCAAAATACCTGTCTCAGCGAAAAGACAGAGCACCTGCTCATAATGATACATTCACTCAACAAAATGAAAAATCAGTTTTCCTTGCTTTACGATGGTCCTTCCTTACCATATATTTACAGAAAATTGCACTGCAGTGGTTAAATATATTATGAATGTGGATCTGGGATTATAGTCTTTAAATGAGAAAACAGACGCTGCTGCTTCATACAATCTGAAAATCTGTTTATGGCTGTCTTCTGAAGAAAATGAGGGTCAGAAATAAAAACTTGCCAGCTTTGTTATTTCTTTACATAGATTTAAAAGTATTTATCATTCTTTAGTCTAATCTTTTGATTTAATCTCCACATTGGCTGTAGCAATTTGTGTTCTATTATTACTATAAACTGCTTTGTGAAGTTCCTTATATCTGAAAAGCAGCTTTTAGAAATTTGAAATAAATCTGAAATTAGTTAATTAGAGGTGCACTCTCTTGCTGAAACTATACTAGCATCAGGGCTGAATCTATCATCTCTATCGCTGTCTCTATCTCTGTCTATCTCCAAACCCTGACATACTGATAAAATGCTAGATCGGTGGAGTGCCAGGCATAAACATGAAATATAGGCCATTGCCATAAGATTTCCGCTAGCCGGACACCTCCCACATGTAATGGTCACACTGCCACTAGATTTCTTGTTCTACTAAAGTCATATAAGTGGAAGAGCTGAAATGAAGATTGGGGCAGGTTGTGAGTAAAATAAGGAGGAGCAAATACGCACCACTTTTTTTACCCCTTAAATCTATGTTAATGCCCAGGTTGAAGGTGCAATTTTATATCAGATCCAAATGGATATTTCCCTGCCATTTTCTTCAACAGGACATGGCAGGGGAGGGAAGGAATCAACATAGCCACCCACAAGTCAGTGACTATTTTCCCATGTTCTGATGACAGCCTGGGATGTAGGGCTATTCTGCCCCCAATCACTGCTACCTTACAAAATCCTACTTAAGGGAGGCATGCATCTTCCTAGGCAAGTGAATCAGCTGTTGGCAAAGGCCAGGCATTCCATTCCAATCATGGTCCTTGCTGATTAAACACTTGTGAGCACTTTTGCCCAGGAGGATCACAGCCTGAACAGCGTGAAGAACAAAGAGTTGCCTCATGACTTGAAGGTTCCGGATTGCCTTCAAGAGCAGCCCCGTGAAAGGAGTGGTGTGGTAATCAAGCTGGAGCTAAAAAACATTAATCAGCATGGCAGGCCTCTGATGAAGAGAGAAAATGGACAAACTTTCTGATGAACTGAGATGGCAAAAGGCACTCTCCACCAGAGGCTATGAGGGATGCAGGATTAGGGCAAGATTGTTAAACTGACCTGAAACATATCACTCACAAGCAAGCAAATTATTTCCAGAACACAACACAGCAGTATCAGTACTGCTTCTTTCCGCCTGTCTGTCTGTTTCCTCCTTCCAGCTAATCATAGCCTCCAAATGTCCAGGACGGAGACAGCTGTTCCCAAGTCCTTAGTTAAAATATTGATGACATGCTTCCCTAAAGTTACAGACCATCTCAGTCAAAAGCTTCATATAGTATTGAATAGTACTATAGCATTGATAGTACTATTAATACTACAATATTGTATCATACTAGTGCTGTAGTAAAATAGCATTGATGATGACTTTCTGAGTCCATTTTTTTAAACAGGAAGAAACCCACAGGAGGGTTTTCCCTGAAACGCCAGCCAAATGTAAAAAACGTAATTTAAATACCCTGCCATTGTGCTGAAAGTTAACTTAAGCCCAGCAGTACCAACAAAGGAATGTTCCTGTTGTCTTCGTTTCCAGAGAAAGTTTACCCACTAGATGGGCTGTGCCAAAAATGATCTTCTGCGATATGCCACTTTGATCTGTATTATCAGCTTCCTGCCTCATGTGTCTACTCTATGTGTGTGTGTGTGTGTGTGTGAGAGAGAGAGAGAGAGAGAGAATAGTTGAGGGTCTCCCCCTGCCCCAAATCCTTTGGCTCATCTAGCTGGATTCTGAGATTTAAGACTCCCTTTTCTGCCAGTTGGGCCCCAGTCCAGAAAAGAAGGCAACTTTGAGAGGGCTCCTGATCTCTTAACCCTCAGCAATCTCGGTACTACATTCAGAACCTCTTCCCCCCATATATATATGCACCAAGTCAGCTTCTTTGATTTTCATGCAAGCCAAAAGAGAATTTCTGGCAGAAGATAAAACAATTGGAGCAGTGGAGCAGCAGGCAAGGGAAAGTTTACCCCCTCCCCGCATTGTTGATCAGCCCCTCAAAATATGCTTTTGACTATCATTGGAGTTCTAATGTACCCACTTTGAATGTCACCTCTATCTCATTCTGAGAATAAATCAAAGCCAGCCTGCTATGATTTTTCCATATTTTAAAAATATCATTGCACGGACTGCTGACAGTTCATCATCATGGCATGTAAAAAAGCACTGATTTTTTTTTAACCCAGTAATTAAATCTCAGGAGACACAAGGCACAAGGTAAACCACAAAAGGAGCGGCTGGACAAACAATGTAATACAGGAGTTGGGGGGGAGAGAGATAAAGATACATTCTGTTCTTGAATGTGCTACATACCATAAGTGAATGGAAGCGAGGGAAATTTCTGCTCTGGAAATGAGAGAGAGTGGCTACAGTTTACTACTTCAGCATCACAGTGCAAACAGGAAATTAAATTCCTGAAGGGGAAATATTCCCTTCATTCCATCAGGGCTGGGCTTACACAGTTGCCCTCTTTTTCGTTGGCCCCAGGGTACCTTTAAAGCTGGACGGGCCAACATGTCCCAAGGCAAAAATCCCTCGCAAATTGATCTATCTGTCTGCCTCTCTCTCTCTCTCTGTCTCTGCCTGGAAATCCTGTTCAGTTATAGATTTTGAAATGATGATACAATTATACAGTCTGCTGGAAAATAATTGACATCCTCCTCTCTTTCTTCTCCCATGCATCTCACTTGTCCTCAGTCACCTCCAGAGATCTTCCCTCTGTCCCCCTGCGCTTGCATGCCTCCCTATGTCTGTAGGACTAGAATCAGCGGAGACCAACCTCATGCCTTTTCCTTGGGATGATGCTCCTGTCTTGATGGCTTCTCCAGTGGAAGGGGTGTCTCTCCTCTAGAACGGAGAGGTCTCCTCCTCCTCCTCCTCCTCCTCCTCCTCCTCCTCTGCTCTGATCAGAGAAGGCTGGCTCTGCCTTGCTGGCAGCTGCCTTTTCCTGATGGTTGGGATTAAACTGGTTCCTTTCCAGATCAATCTAGCAACTTGTCCTGCTCTCGCCCTCCCTGGCTCTCCCCGCCCATGCAAGGGGCTGGGATGAAAGAAAGGTTTCTTTTGCTGTAGTGGCAAGCAGCAGCAGTGTCTCAATTCACTGGATAGTAGATGAGGGTAGGGACGATTGGCAAAACCAGTAAAGAATATCAGGGAGATCATTGCTCCACAGCACGTTCTGCTTAAATCTGAGGATTTATGAGTTATTAAACCACAGTGTCTAATTTTATATAATACTTGGTTCTAACTGCGCATCAAACCAGCTTCATCTTTTGCTCCAGCTCATGGCCACTGATGTATCCTATTTCCTCTGAGTTTAGTGGCAGGCAACTGGGTGTGAAACAAGTACGTGAAATGACCTTTCTCTCTTAATCAGGAGAGAAAGAAAGGGCGAGAAAACATAGGATGGTGACTGAGTGAATGGGAGGTGTATTAATGTACAATGCATAAAATATAGGGGAATGGGCAAGCATTGATGGAGAGCATTGATGTCTGTAAATGGGTGAAGACAGAATTTAATCATGTTGTCTTTATGTGGCTAATGCCACATTCTCTTCTGGCTGTGGCCCAGACATTATTTATTTATTTGTCTGATTCCATTTCAGTGCCACCCAACTCCAAACTGACCATAAAAAGGTAATTCATTACTCTGGCAGTTAAAGATGCTCCCTGCCCCTGCCCCTGCCCCTGCCCCCTGCCCCTGCCCCCTGCCCCCTGCCCCTGCCCTAGAGCTATCTTTTGAAAAATCTCATGGCAGTTGTTGTTGTGTACTTCTTCATTACAACCATGCAAAAAATAAGAGAGCAGAAAGGAACAGACAGGAGACAGGATGAAATACACAAGGACATATATACCCTGGCCCGTGCATAACACTTCAAATACTTGACTTTTATTCACACACAATTTTGTTTCTCTCCATTTGATTTGTAGCTGAACTGAAATTCTGGGATTCCTTAATTGGATTAATCCAGATCTCTCCCTCTGTGTGTGTGTGTGTGTGTGTGTGTGTGTGTGTTTGGCTATAGGAGGTTGGAACAATTATGGGTTGGGTTCTAGCCAGGGGTGCACAAAGGCCACACGGCTTTTCAAGGAATGATGGAGGTTGTGCTGCAAAAAGAGGCATGGTGACATAACTAGTGAGTGAATGGGCAAATTTAATCAATGACATAATTGATTATAATTAATAATTTTAAATACTTGACAATATGATTGTTTAAATGTATTGGTCAACAGTTAAATTTTCAGCACATGCATACACATACTTAAGTCTCATTTATAAGGACTGTCAGGGGTGTCCATAGGAGGGTCAAAAAAAATCAAGATGGCAGTCACAGCCATGTGATCAAATCCCCTTTCTTTTTTATGTACATAGCAACTAAAAAAGGCCAGGGCTTTGTGTGCATGTTGGTGGCTACTAACTTGATTTCTTTTCCCCCTCGTGGACACCCCTGGAATCCCCTTCACCTCAACTGATTACTAACTTAAAGAACGGAGTACAAGAAGTATGTGAGCAAAAACATGCCCACCTGTATCCTGAGGTCTTCTATGCACAGGAGGTGACAAATCAAGACCCAGAGGAGTGGCCTCAGGTTGGAGGGGGTGTAGTGGGTAAGGAAGAGAATCTGAAGGGGTCAGGGGGGCTGTCCCTGACCCCCTGGCAGGCTGGGTACGCCCCAGGTAATGGGTTGTGCCCCTGTGCTGTAGATGTCAGCCCTATAAGGCAGACCAGACTAAGACACCAATGCCATTTCGGTCTAAAACTACTTTTACTGGAACAGCTATAGTAACTGAATCTTGCAGGTTTAAAAGTGCTCCCCCCTCACATTACCTTTGTGTGTATTAGGGAGGGGTTTGTCTGAGACACTTTCTCAAATTAGTTCCTTGGAAAGGACTTGAAGCCTGTTTGTCTTATTGTCGCTTTGGTGGCAGCTTCTCCTCCTGTCCTTCAAGGCCCTTCCCTAGGTCCTCTACAGTATCCTTGATAGATTATGACCCATTGGGCTTCACTGCCCATACAAAACCAATCCCAGACCGATTTCAGGCCTTGCACCTATAATGAAACTAAAGGGGCAGAGCTTTCAAGTCTGGCTAACTGACTGGATGTCTCTGGCATTGGGCAGAGGACCTGCTCTACTGCTCAGCAGAGAAAGCGCTGCCTCAGGTGACAGATGTCAAAGAGCTGGGAGCGTTGAAATAAGGGCCCTCAGCCAGCCAGGCAGCATCTGCCTATGGAAAGTGGGCGGGGCTTGACTTTTCGCTTGCCTCCAGCAGCAAAATTATAATTTTGCTGCTGGAGCTTTGAGTATAGTGCGATTCAGACAATTTACTGCAAAGCACCACAAAGATGTGTATATCTGCCTCCCATTCACTGGTGTTTTGGAAGCAGTGGCGGAGGGAAGACAGAACCTCTCATGGACCCTCAAATCTTTTTCTCCAGACATTGATAGAAGCGAAACAGGCACCTGGACAATTGGGCAGTGCAATCCATAAATTAAAATGTGTTTTGTTTTAGACAAAGAAAAATCAGTGGAATGCCTTCATTTATGGACATATATCTTCTGTATCTTAACCAAAGCCAAAAGAGGAGATGGGGAACAGAACAATCTCAGATTCTGATTTTTAAAATGTCTGTCTTGTCCCTAAAGAAGGCTTTCTGCTTGTTCATGTTCCTTCTCATTTCAATAATCCTAGCTGCAGGATGACTGCTGCTAAATCTTTTCTGTTTCAACAGAGACCAAAGTAAAAAGTCAAAATGCTGCTTCCCCATAGCTGTTCAGAACAAGCCACGATGACGTCACATGCACCGTGTCATCGTGCAATTTACATAAATCACATCATTATTATGATGACATTGGGATGCCTGACACACTGCTTGCCCCTCTTCCCATAAACTCCCATTGCCCTTCCCGAGTCTCTTCTGAACTATGGTGACATGAACAACCAGCAACCTTAAGCACAGCACTAACAAAAAGAACCAAAGACCATGATACCACTAGAATGATATCCAAATTATATGTAACCAAATCCCTTAATTTTTTTACAAATGCTACTAAGAACCTGCAGTTAACTCATATTGTTCTTGACTGCTGTGGATTCTTATTCATTCCACCCTTCTATTGGAATTGGTTGCTCAGACTGCTTTGCATTCCTTGCAAGTCCAGCCCCACTTGCTTTTTTTCTATTTGCATTAAAATTGAGGAGCTTGCACAAGACATTTTTATTGATCCTCTATTTTATTTACAGTATTGAGGTACTGCTTACCCCTGAAAAAAGGCAGTGGAGCAGAGGGAAACAACACATAAAGAAAGTCTGCCTTGGGGCCTCAGGGCTTTTTGGTTCGAAACATGGTCTTTCTTTAAAAATCAATTCTTGGTTTTCAATGCAAATTTATCACTGGGGTGAACGGGGGTAGCCTAGAGAAAGTCAGACCTCCTTGGCAGAATAAGCTGTCCCCCCTTGCCCTAGTAAGTCCTTGCGAAATTACCAAACAATGAAATGTTCAGATTTCTCCCCATCAGTCATCCTGGGCAGGACAAACAGACCTGACCGCAACTGATAGGAGAAGAAGTAGGATTTCTGTGTCTTTAACAGCTCCATGACAGACAGGTGAAATTTTTTTCCTCGCTATTTAATTCCCTGCTAGGTCTGTAAACAAAAGATGGTGATCTTAACTGTTGACCGTTTTGTCCTATATCTTGCTTGACAGTCTCACTTGGCGTGATTGCAATCTCCTGGCCCTTTTCTGCCACCTGAAAAAGGGGAGTATGGGAAGAATTACACTTTCTGCTCCAGGGTATAACTACAAGCTGCGTAAGGAACATAGTGTTCCTAGAAAGGGGGGCAGAGGTGAGGGCGGGGGGGGGAACTAGTAGGTAAACAATATCATTGCTTCAGAGTAAGCGAGTGGGAAGGAAGGAAGGAAAGAAGGAAGGAAAGAAAAAAGGAAGGAAGGAAGGAAGGAAGGAAGGAAGGAAGGAAGGAAGGAAGGAAG